TTCTCGGGCACTGACTCGTTCGCTAAACTGAACATCCAATCAGAGCTCTCACTCGCGCCGACAGTCCCGACGCCGATTCAACATGTTGAATCGGGCAAACTGCCGCCGACGTGAGCCCTACGAGAGCCGACGAGTGGAACACACCAAACAAACTAGCCTGACCGTTGCTCGCCGTCGGACCTACATTGGCCAACGGCCGGTGAGTCTCGTGAAAACCAACGTTTGTTAACAGGAGCAAAGGAAGCAAAGTTTCCTTACTTTAGCAAAGGAAAACCAGTCTCCTCTTGGCTTATATCGAAATCCTCCGACATCTTTCTTTACAAATCCTTGTTTTGTACTTCTAATAAGTGACCGGTGTTTTGTTTTGATCTCTCCCCTGCGCTTCCGCGTTCGTCACTTCTGAGTGACGCATGCGCAAAGCCGACCTCATACGTCATCCACCCGGAGTTGCTTCCGTGTACAACTGTTGGCGCAAGCTACATTAAAGTGATTATAACGTTTTGAATATGGATATTTTTCTCACAAAAACGCATCGATTCGCTACAGGAGGCCTTTGTTCACCTCCCGGAGCCGTGTGAGACACTTTTTTTTATGGATGGGCGCTTTTTATTTAACTTCTTTTGGACTGATGCATGCAACACCCGTTTGAGTGGCATTAAACAGCTTGAAAGATCAAAGACAAATTTTAATATAACTCGACTGGATTCATCTGAAAGAAGAAAGTCATATACACCTGACTTGAGGGTGAGTAATTTGTGGGCTAATTTTCATTTTTGGGTGAACTAAACCTTTAAGACTGTGTCTCAAGAACTAGTTTGACCAACTAGTAGCTAGCCAAGAGGTAATCAGACCTACTTTTTGGATTCAAATTACACCATTCTCTCTTTTTATAACTGACTTTAAAAAGTTATGACCAGTCTTAATTAGGGCTGCACGATCAATCGTATGCGATATTTAACGCGCATCTTGTCAGAAAGCCGGTTCTGTAATCAGCGGTAAATCTCCATCACCTGCGTGCTTTC